TTTGGGTCCTGGCAGAGCAAGAGGTGTGGCCTGGGCTGTGTCACCACTGTGGGGACACTGGGGGTCCTTAAGGGGCTGGGGCCACCCTGTTTGGGTCCTGGCAGAGCAAGAGGTGTGGCCTGGGCTGTGTCACCACAGTGGGGACACTGGGGGTGCCTGGGGGTCCTTAGAGGGTTGGGGCCAGCCGTGTTTGGGTCCTGGCAGATCCAGGGGGTGGCCTGGGCTGTGTCACCGAAATGGGGACACTGGGGGTCCGTAAGGGGCTGGGGCCACCCTTGTTTGGGTCCTGGCAGATCCAAGGGGGTGGCCTGGGCTGTGTCACCACAGTGGGACCCCAGGGGGTGCCTGGGGGGTGCCAGGGCAGGGGGTGACCCCCGAGGTGTCCCCCAGGCGTGTCCCTGTTCGGCCTGGCCGCCCTCCTGCTCCCGGAGTCCTTCCCCCATTACCTGGCCCAGGTGAGGGCCCTGAGCCTCGGCCCTGCCCTGCTCTGCTCTGCCAAGTTCCTGCTGGCATTCCCGCTCTCCTACCACACCTGGAATGGCATCCGGCACCTGGTGAGGGGCTGGCACGGGAATGGGAAACATTGGGATGGGAATGGGGCACGTTGGGATGGGAATGGGGCACATTGGGATGGGAATGGGGCACATTGGGATGGGAATGGGCAGGTGGGGTTGGAATGGGCACATTGGGATGGGAATGGACACCTGGGATGGGAATGGGGCACATTGGGGTGGGAATGGGCACATTGGGATGGGAATGGGGCACCTGGGATGGGAATGGGCACATTGGGATGGGAATGGACACATTGGGATGGGAGTGGGCACATTGGGATGGGAATGGGGCAATTGGGATGGGAATGGGTACCTTGGATGGGAATGGGCACATTGGGATGGGGATGGGGCACATTGGGATGGGGATGGGGCACATTGGGATGGGAATGGGAATGGGCACATTGGGATGGGAATGGACACCTGGGATGGGAATGGGCACATTGGGATGGGAATGGGGCACCTGG